TATTTTTTTAAGGAATTCTGAAGTTAATTGAAATTGCGAAGTTTTTATTTTTGTTTTCTATTGTTCATAACTTGTGAGGACCTCCTTACCACTCTATGTTGCCGTGTTAGTTCTTGCCGCTACTTTTGTGCTTTTCTTCTCTTCCCCGTTTATTCAAATCCCGGCGGGACGCTGCTGCCCAGAGGGTTGCCGGCTCCCACATAACTTATTAAAACCCTCGTTGCCTGTACATAAACCTTCCCACCATACAGTGACGGTGTTAACTGGGTCTCGCCTCTTTCTCCTTTTATCCACTTCCCCACTACACATTGCTCAGTCTCCCCTTTGTGGGTTTAAGAACATGAGAGTAAAGGAACAACTGACCCATGTTAAGCGGGTCTAATTCATACCCACCCACACCCACTCATGTACCCATTCAACCTGTATTTATAAAACTACCCAGAGTTCTTGCCTCAGTGACGCTGCCTGGCAGTTTGTTCCACTCATCTACCCCTCAAGGAAGGTTCCTTGATGTTGGTGAGGGACTTGATTTAGGGAACTGGACCTGTGCTCCAGTTCCCTGAATTAAGCCTGAATACCTTCCATTCCCCCCCCCCCAGACGCTGTATAATAATACGGGTTTAGCGTTTCCCCTAGATTATAACAATCAACTCGTCTACAACTCTATAATATAACCAAAGCAGTACTTACCTATATCCTTCCTCCCGGCTTAGACCAATGGCCCACCCAGTCAGGTCGCCGCCACTTAAGGAAGGAGCACGGCATCTGACCCAGTAGCACCAGCTAGGCAGGTCCAACTCGCACCATTCGTGTATTTATCTAACCTATTTTTAAAACTACACAACGTCTTAGCTTCTATAACGGTACTCGGGAGTTTGTTCCAATCATCCACAACTCTATTACCAAACCAGTGCTTTCCTATATCATTCCTGAATCTGAATTTTTCCAGCTTAAAACCATTGCTGCGAATCCTGTCTAGGCTAGATATTTTTAGCACGCTATTTACTTCCCCTTTATTCATTCCTGTTTTCCATTTATACACCTCAATCATATCCCCCCTAATTCTACGCCTTTCTAGAGAGTTCAGATTCAGGGCCCTCAGCCTATCCTCATAGGGAAGATTTCTGATACATGGGATCAGCTTTGTCATCCTCCTCTGTACGTTTTCATGTACATTTATATCCATTCTGTAATACGGTGACCAGAACTGTGCAGCATAATCTAAATGAGGCCTAACCAAGGATATATAGAGTTGAAGAACACCCAGAGGATTTCTATTATTTATGCTTCTTGAGATGAATCCAAGGATTCTGTTAGCTTTATTGCGAACGCTTATGCACTGTTGTCTTGGTTTCAGGTTACTGCTAACCATTTCCTTCAGCTTATTCTTGTAGGGTAATATTATTATTATTATTATTATTATTTATATTTAGGGGAAAGTGCTAAATAAACCCTTATGGATCATAAAGAGCCTGGGAAATAAAGGTTTCCAATAAATACATGGAATCAATTTGGTCATCCTTCGCTGTTTATTTTCCAGCACATTTATATCCATCTTGTAATATGGAAACCAGAACTGAGCAACATAGTCTAAATGAGGTCTAACCAAAGATATTGAAGTGTAGATTTATAATTAACAATTTTCTTCTATCGCATTTCTTCACTTCAGCCATCTATAATAATAATAATATAAATTGTATTTGCAGATACACTGTTAGGAGGATCAAAGGCGGCGGGTTTGGTGATGCGTCTTTCTGATCACTGATCCAAGACATCAAACCTACCCATTCCTCTCGATCTCTCTCTATAATGACCATATTACAGAATAGATAAAAGTGTGGCTAAACTTCTAAAGACTTGTCCGGTTTAAATCTCCTATATCAAAAATTTGACCTAAAATATTGAACCCTGTAGAATGCAGGGAAGAGAACAATGAACCCTGTAGAATGCAGGGAAGAGAACAATGAACCCTGTAGAATGCAGGGAAGAGAACAATGAACCCTGTAGAATGCAGGGAAGAGAACAATGAACCCTGTAGAATGCAGGGAAGAGAACAATGAACCCTGTAGAATGCAGGGAAGAGAACAATGAACCCTGTAGAATGAAGGGAAGAGAATGAACCCTGTAGAATGCAGGGAAGAGAACAATGAGCCCTGTAGAATGCAGGGAAGATAATGAACCCTGTAGAATGCAGGGTAGAGAACAATGAACCCTGTAGAATGCAGAGACGAGGTTGAAATATATAAATGGATCCACGGTATAAATAACCAGGAAATATCAGATCCTGAGAGAAATCTCAACACCGAGTTTAAATTGGACAGGTTCACATTTGCAGTATAGAGAAGCTTTGAAAGTAGTCTGGAATAAGTTGCACAAACTGTCGTGTAGCCTGGAGGCCTGGTCTGGGACCGGGCTGCGGGGGCGCTGACCTCCGGAAACCACTAGGGGTAGCCAAGTAGCGTTATTAAAGGAAAAAATCTAGGAAGCTTTGAAATTGTTGTGTATGTTACTAGATTGTCAGGGGTCGGGGCTCTTGTTCTAACTCCTAACCCGTATTTAATTATCTATTTTGCAATTAAGGTTTTTAGTTCGTACAGTTATACTCGTGGTGTTTCTTCCTATTAGTCCTAATGTTTCCAAAATATTCCAGGGGTTAAGTGTTAACATGTTAACTTTTTTTTTTCCAGGAGTGTAATGGATTACTATTTGGTCTTTTATTTCTATAGATTTTTTTTTTCAGGCTGTGAACGGTTATCGTACCTCAGCTCATTTCAAAACCTGGCCTTATCTAAATTACTCTCCGAACTTCCAGAATGCCATTCACACCAGTCTGCAAACACCCGGGTACCTCTTTACTGCTAAATGAACAGGGGCAGATATTGTAAGGAAAATCTTGCCATGTTCCCGGAATCGAATCCGGGCCCTATCGATTTAGTCGAACACCCGTGCACTGAGTTGCAGGTGTATGCTTTTACGTGAAAGCTGAGCTCTAGCCATTGACGAGTATGTTGAGATGAACATGAAGTGTGGTTAGTATCTGAGATGAGCACAAGGTGTAGCTGCGGCTTTGACATTCGCCTCACTAGTATGTTTGCAGATGCTGTTGTTCTCCCGTGTAGCTTGTAGCGTACAGCTGACTGAGGAACACATTTTAACAGTTTACTCATGGCTGAAATCTTCCCATTTCCGTACCTTTTTTCAGCTACCAGGGTGCCTGTTTGGACCTCTGGGAAATTTGTAATTACCAGGGATGCTATAGGGATGTCAAAGAGCTTTTAGGAGAGTCTTTTGGCATATGTAATCTAATAAGATTTTTAAATAATTTTAGTTATTTTGACTTGGTATTATAGTACTTGTGTTGCATGTTTTACTCGTGTTTGTACTGTGTTAATTTTATCTTTCCGTATCGTATGTGTGTGTGTTTGGCATACATTGATAACAGTGGTGAATTATCTACACGGTGAAAGTGGTCTTCATATATCAAAAGCACTTACCTCGTTAGTACATTGTTGTGGCTGCGGGGATAGTTTGTGTCTAGTAGTAACGTTATCGCAGAGGAAGGAGGGGGGGAGAGTCGGAGGGATGGGGGTAATCTCTGGGTTATTCTCCCCCACACTAAGTGACAGTTGTCTGTATTGAGAGTTCTCTGTATATACACACAGTTATCTATATTCACAGAGGTGTGTATCACAGTATATACACCGATGGGTTATCTTCAGCGTACATACATACGAGTTTACTTTTACTCCCAATTACTACATGGTACATACAGAATATATATTTCACTGTATGTACTCTGAGTTGACTTTCAACACTGATCTGAACGACCCAACGTGTAGTTGATTGACTTAAACCTAACAAATTAGATTATATCCGCAGGCTTTCCATGTGAACTACAGATCAGAGTGCCAGGAGGGCTTCCTCGGACATGGTGCCGCTGCCTTGCACCCTTCGTGTGTCAGTAATGTGTATGCTTTATATATACCATCCCTGTGTACACCATGTTCTTATCATGTGACCTTTTTGAATCGCGCACGCTAGGCCATACACCTCAGTCAGAATCCAGACTAGGCGGCGGGTGGATGTATCAGGCTGGGGGGGGGGGCTCCATAATAATAATCTTTATCTCTACATATACATCGTATACAGGCCTGGCTGACATCAGTGACATCTATATTTAACGTAACCCTCGGGGATACCTAATGATATTTCGAACACTGATCCGAAGTTAAAATAGTGTGATGACCATCCCTCGTATTTGGATTTTTGGGGATGATTTTGCCACCGAAGCGGCTAGTTTATTGTGCACCTCGTATCCATCTTGTGGACGGAAGCGCAAGAACATATATTATACATAGGAGTTAACTTGTGCCTAAGTTGGAACGCCAACACCGCATCCCGTTCATTAGTTGATTTATTGGATTCAAAGCCTGTCCACCACACGAGGGTCATTTAACCACTGCACCTCCACTCAGTAATACTTTAATCGATAAAATGAAAGATTAAAGTAATACATTCTTGTATACATTTTAAGAGATACACCTGTGTGTATATGCTCGTTTTCGTGTGTTGGCCGCCCTTTGTATAATAAGTGTAGCAAGCAGTGTTGCCAGTCTTGCACAAGATCCAGGGAAAGTGGTGCCAACGAAAGGGAAAGGTTGCAGTGTGAAATCTTACAATTGCTTGTAAGCGAGGCTTGTATTGTGTATTTAAACTCTGAATAGTAATGAAGTTAGCCAGGAAGTATTGGTGGTTTCTTTGGGGATAGAGCCAGCTGGTGGGTGGGGGGTTAGATGTTTGGTGAATGGAGAGGGGTTGTATATAAATGAAGGGGGTAGTTGCTTATTAAATGATGGGGGGATACATGCTTCGTAAATGGAGGAGCGGCGGGGGGAGGGGTAGCTGCTTTGTGAATGGAATAGGGGGTGTTTTCTTGTTGAACGGAGAAGGGGGGTAACTGCTTGGTGAATGGAGGAGGGAAGAGGGTAGTTATTTGGTTAGTGGTGGGGTTGAGTGAGAGGAGATGGCTCACTTTTGTTTTGGTTTATACCTTTGGTGAGTTTCAAGAGCTTTCCTACTCCCGGAGCCCGGTCCTGGGCCAAGCTTGCCCGGTCAACCAGTTTGTTGCTGCTGGTGGCCCGCTGACCCACATCCGCCAAAGCCTGGTTGATCCGGCACTAGCTGGAGGTACCTGTCCAATTTCCTATTGAAGACTTCTGCAAATGTCCCAGCAGTGTTTGATATCTTTCGGTAAAATATTGAATTGCCTGAGACCATTGATATTGATAGTGTTTGTTCTCTTACTGTGCACACTGCTTACGGCACCCTTGCTTTTTCACTGGGTTTATTGAACATTTCTCCCACATGTCTCACTTCAGTATGTTATTCCAGTGTGTGCAGATTTAGGACTATGCCCTCGTGTACTTTCCACGTATGTATTGCCATTCATCTCTCTCACCTTCTCTCCATCGAATGCATACATATTTAGGATTTAGAGGCGTTCCCAGTAGTTTGGATGATTTATTGGCTCTATGCGAGCCATAAGCTATCTGTAACTGTTCCAGTTGTGATTCTCTCCTGCCCTGAATGCAGCTGTCAAAACTACAATACTCCAGATGAGGGAGAGCATCGTCTGGTGTTGCTGGCTTGCGTGGTGGGTTAGTATAAGTTTCCTATCCTATATTTTATTACTTTCAGGATGGTTCCTTCGTATAATAGTCACATTTGCAACACTTGCCTACACAACAGGCCTCCTCAGTCGAATACTGGTGAATGCAAAACAGGAAGCAGTAGACGTAGTGCTAACGTGGTCAGTCCCTCAAGCCTAAAGTATAGGCAAGCGGCCCGACCTTGTAAACTAGAGTAGAGGTGAGATGAAGCAGCTCGAGTTGACGTCACAGGTGAGTGTCGCTCACGAGTGGAATGATATTTAGCTCTTTCATGCTGTAAAGGACTCTCGATACGAATAATTAGAGGCACCCTACCCTTCTCGGATCAAACCTGATTACCCCCTATTTCCCATTCGCTGTATGACAGTTACGGATTTAGTAATAATAATTGTTTACTCTTGGTTTGAAGCCTTAACAACTTACGAATTCCTGTATTAATTTCTAAATACAGTATTTTTTTAGAGGGCATCATGCAAAGCTAAAAGCAAGTCAGACGTTTAAATTTATGCATACAAACTAATGCATGCAATGAATTTCATGAATTAGTATGTATGCTTACCTCTGATGGGCCATTACGAGCGTACCTGATCAACAAGCAGCCTGTTGCCTCATCTATTAGGCTATACTAGGCTGAACTAGTTACCACCCAACCAGCACTACCTGTATATGTCTCTACCTTATCCTTTCATTGGGGGTGGTGGGGCCTTGATGCTGGTGAAAGGATCGCGATCTTAGGAATTGGAAGTACTCTCCCATCCTTGGAGCAAACCGGATTACTTCCTGTTCCTTACTGGTTCAACGCTTTTGCAAAAATAGTATTCGAGTGACTTCTCAAAACGTGGCAGGAACAATGCGAATGACTGGGTAGAAAAGAATGAACACGGCAGTAGGTCTACTGTCCCATGCTGGGCAGGTCCAACTCATTGCCACACCAGTGCTTCTCTATATCCTTTCCAAATTTCGATTTGTCAAGCTTGAATCCATTGCTGCGAGTCCTGTCTTTGTTAGATTCAGCACGATATTTACATCCCCTTTATTTATTCCTGTTTTCCATTTGTATGTTTCAATCATATCTACTCAAATTTTATGCTTTTCCAGAGAGTGCAGATTCATTGCCTTCAGCCTGTTTTTTTGTAGGATATTATTATTTAAGATCAGAGCTAAACCCTTGGGGGTCATAGAGCGCCTGGGAAATTAAGATTTCCGGTACATGGAATCAACTTCATCCTCTATTTTTTCCAGGGCTTTTATGTTCATTCTGTAGTATGGAGACCAGAACCGGGCAACATAATTTAAACGAGGTCTTACCAGAGATGTATAAAGTTGAAATATAAGCTTAGGACCTCTTATTTATAGTTCTTGATAAGAAACTAAGAATCCTATTAAATTTATTGTGAACACTTCTGCACTGTTGTCTTTAAATTTCCGCACACCCGAGTTCCTAGATCTTTTCCACATTCAGTTTGACTAAGGTGTCCACATTATTTATCTTGTAGGATTAGAACCTTACATTTGTTCCCATTGAATTGCATCTACCGCTTCTCCGGCCACGTCAGTTTAACTTAGGTCATCCTGTATTCTCTTGTCCTCATCAGAAATGATCTGACCTGCCTAATTTAGTGTCATCGGCAAACGCCGCTTTTTTATTCCCTCACCTTTCGTTTGTGTAGACTGTGAACATCAAGGGATCCCAGTACTGATCCCTGTGACACATCTCTCGTAGTGAAGGAGGACCAAACCTTTTCCCCCTCCAGTCATTGTAATGGAGGACCAAGCCTCCCCCAATGATTGATGTAGAATCGAGTCTCCCCCAGTGATTGATGTAGAATCGAGTCTTTCCCAGTGATTGATGTAGAATCGAGCCTCACAGTGAGTGATGTAGAATCGAGCGTCTCCCAGTGAATGATGTAGAATCGAACATTAGTGATTAATGGAGAATCGAGCCTCTCCCAGTGATTGACTGATTTACAGTGGTTTAGCGCTTCATGTAAAATAAAAGGCACCTTTCACCAGTGCATGGTAGATTGTACTGTTCAGTAGAGCATTTAATGTGGGGTGACACGGTATTTTGATGTGAATATTATGCAGGCAGAGAAATGATTCTATCTGCCATGGTTGTATGAGCGTAATCACAACTCTCACCAGATAAGCTTTACTTGTCAGTCATGGCTCACACCTCTACCTCACTTTCACAAAAATTACCACTCATCCACCCTTTATATAGTAATAGTGTTATTATTTATATTTATTATAAATGATGAGCTAAATCTTAAGAAAGCGTTATAATCCTAATTATTTTTGTGCACGTATACTATTAAATGCGTATAAATTTAATATACATATAAATTAAAATAATTTGGTGCAATTATAAATTCTGTAATTTTGTTAAAAATAAGTCATAAACAAAAAATACTAATTATTATAAATAATATAAATTTGAGATTTTGCGGTGTTAATATTATGCAAAAAATGAGTTAAGCATAATTGATAAGTATAATAAAATGTACATTAAAATAGATAAATATATATACATTATAAATGTACGGTATTAAAGAACCATTGGATACAGCGAGGTGCTTTATATATATAAAAAGAAAAATGGGGTCAACCTCTGGTGCTAATTATGGGACCCATAGCCTCGGAGAAGTGAATGAAAAGGCTTCAGGAAAAATGTTTGGATTTCTTCGTGAATACATTTGAATATTTCACTTCCCTTACCACCCCATCTTTCATTTTTTTTTCAATGGGTCTATTTTGTTACATAATATGGTTCACAAGACTTAAAATACATTGCTGGTACAGAGATGGCATATACAGTACACGAGGTTGCAGCCTTTGAGTAGTCATTAGGCTTTAAACTAAATTTAACAAATTACCCACTGAACTATTATAGTAGACCCCACACGAACCTGGACTATTATAGGAGACCCTCACGTAGGTGACCAGCTATCTGTCTCATTCCCATAGTGTCTTACTATAGCCTCACAGCTGAACTACCCTTCAAGGATAGTGCTGGTGAAGGATTTGTGATAAAAGGAATCAGCCTAGCCTCCTATTGATCAGATCCATTTCTCATCCACCAGGAGCGATATAACTTATTAAGCGTTTAGCACTCCCATGAATGTAATAAATACTAATAATTGCAGCTGAGGCTGACTGGGGAAACAGGTAGGGGATAATTGATGTACACAATTATTACAAAATTCAATAATACCGGCCTTATATTTATGGGGAAGCGCAACCCGCGTGAGTCAGACGATGTCCTCTCCCTCCCCGTAACCTTGCATGAGTATTTTCGTACTATACTCAGAGAATCAATGCAGACTGTCCTTGCTTCGGTATTACTCAGAGAACTGTTCAGTGTTCATTTCATTTTCGTGGCCTTCGCTCTTAATCATAGCAATAAATGTTAAGTTTTCCTTGATCATGGCTCCTGTTACTCACTATTTTCGGCTGGGGGAGGGTCGAGTCCCGATTCCATAGCGAACACACTTTCCTGGCCTTGTGTGTCTTACTCTATAAAAATACGTACATAGGGTTTGTGTACTTATAATTACACAAGGTAATTACCTGTTTGTAATTGCCAGTTTGTATCTACAGGATCTCTGGAGGAGGAGGATGATGATGGTCGGAATGCAGACTCAGAAAGAACACTTGTAATCTCCAACTGCCTCTGCTACCCAGACAGGCACACAAACAGGTATAAAGACACTCGTACATACAGACATTCAGATAGATATACATGGATAAACAGACAGCCATGTATAGATGCGCGCGCGCGCGCACACACACACACACACACACACACACACACACACACACACACACACACACACACACACACACACACACACACACACGAACGAACGAACGAACGATGACACTGGATCACTATCTCCAAGTACTAGACCCACCAGGCTTCGATGGCTGTATGAGCCAGCGGGCCACCAACAGCAACAGCTTAGTCTACCAGGCAGTCAACAGAAAAAGAAGCCTCAGGCCGGGCTGCGAGAGTAGAAAAATACTGGAAACGAGTCATAGGTATACACAGAGTGGTGGCGAATCAGCAACGTGGAGCCCAGATCAAGATCAAAGACTGGAATGATGGCGGCTCACAGCATCAAAGCAGAGGCAAATTGAGCGTGATGCATGAGCCTTCAGTAGAGCGAGGCTCCTGATTCATACTCATACTCTCCTCCACCCCTTCCCAAACACCCATTAACACTCACTTTTTTAAGGAATGTTAAAAAAAAAAAATGTGTAGAAAGCAGAATCCTGCTTTCAGATAAGCCGGTCCGATCGGTAGAGTGGTGTATATCTGTGTACTAAGCTACGACGGGTGTTAGGTAAATTAGATTGAGATCGAAATGGGTTTTGCAAATTGAACATATTTAAATTTAAAAAATGTTTTAACATAATTCAAACGCACGCGCGCACAAGCAAGCAAGCAAGCAAGCAAGCAAGCAAGCAAGCAAGCAAGCACACACACACACACACACACACACACACACACACACACACACACACACACACACACACTGTAAGTTCACACGTTGTTTGTGTATACTTACATAGTTACTGTCACACAATGTGCTTGCCTGTTATTGGTTATGGTGTTGGCAGGTGTGTTGGTGCTGCGTAATATTGAACCAGTTCACCATTGCAACATCTTACGTAAGACTAGTGGCACGACCCGCGTCTAGTTTCTGGCGCTACCGGCAAGATGTGGTAATAGCAGATGTCTCATACGCTGTAAGAGTTGATGCTTTATAAGAAAGTTTAATAGTCCAGTGTTGTGATTGAAGGGCGTTAGAGAGCATTGAATTTGGATAGTGGGCTATACATTAGTTTAAAGGGGGAATGCCTTGATACTAGTGAAGGGTTCTTGATGCCTTTTGCTTTTCTATCCTTAATTCACACACCTAGATAATACACGATAGTTCTTAATCCGGGTAGATGTAGATAGTTTTCAGCTTTGTGCTGTATCCTTACCTCTGGTATCAAACCAGAGTATCTAAAATTTCCCAGGGTCTGTATAGCCCCTGTATGCAGTATACAACAGTGGCTAGAGTGCATGAGTGAGGTTGCTAGGGTGGGAAAAACCATGCTCAGAGTTGAGAAAGTATCGCAGTAATGATGCAAACATCTGGTCCCGTGTTGTAAAAGCTATGTTGACAGTTCGTAATCAGTAATCCTGAGAAAATATTGACCAACCGACTGCATCAGTGAGTGGGCTAGGGCAGGCAGGGCTGGGGAAGCGTATGGCATAGCTGCTGCCCACCGCTCAGTTTTCTTGACGAAGCGTCATAACAATTCAAAATATTTTAACGTACGCGCGCGCGCGCGCGTGTGTGTGTAAGTAAGTAAGTAAGTAAGTTTATTCAGGTATACACAAATACAGTTACATAGAATTATCATACATAGCAGCATATGTGTAGAGAACCTAGGATAACCCAAAAAAGTCAGAGTGACTTAATTCCATTGGGGTCCTTTTACCTTATTATTATAATATAAAGGTTATAATATTTTCTTATTATTCTATAGTGAAGATAACATCTTATTATCATACTAAAAAGACTACTACACGAGGGTCATTAAGACTATCTACAATACGAGGGTCATTACTAGGAATAAGGTAAAATTTACACGTATGTTAGATACAAAAATAGAAAATCATTCCCCTCCCTTTCTGTAGCTACATTCATCAGACACCTTTTGGCACTCTTCTTGAACTGGTTCATGCTATGACTGGCTTTGACATGTGCGGGTAGTCTGTTCCATTCCTTGATTGCTGTACAATAAAAGGTGTTTGAAGCCTGGCCAATGACTGTGGGTACTACAAAGTTGTGCTCTCTCCCCCTAGTACTATGATTGCTTTGGTTCCCAACCTTGACAAAATTGACAGCAAGATATTCTGGACACTGTTTGTGAGCAATTTTATAAACATGATTTAGCTTCAGTTGTTTTACTCTGTCTTCAACATTCAGCATATCCAACTGCTGTAATTCATCCTGGCCTACATGTTCTCTTGGTCCCAGCCCCAGGATGAATCTTACGATTTTGTTCTGGGTGATTTGCAGTCTATCTTTCAGTTTTTTTTGTCAAGGCAGAGTACCAAGAAGAGCAAGCGTAATCCATATGGCATTGTATAAGGGCTAGACATAGGGTCCTGCGAGCCTCAGTAGGTAGACACTGTGCTTGTCTATACAGGAACTTCAGTCTGGCATTCGCTTTCTTTACTACACTGTTCCCTATCAATTCTCCTGACATGCATGGGTCAAAGGGGATTCCCAAATATTATACTGATGAAACCAAAGTGATGGGCTCCCCATTACATTGAACATTAAAGTTATTTACCCTTCTCAGTTTATGTTTCGTGCCAAAGAGAATGGCTTCAGTTTTCCCTAGGTGTAATGATAGTTTGTTGTCTACTAACCATTTGCTGCAGGACTCCAGTTCCAGTGTTAAAACATTAGCAATATCTTGTGGGTCTTTACCTGACACTAACAGAGCACTGTCATCTGCATACAGTAGGAGTTTGCACTTGACACTGATAGGCATATCATTGACATAACATAAGAATAATAAGGGACCCAGAATACTACCTTGGGGAACTCCACATGTTATCGGCAGGGGTTCTGATTCTGTTTTGTTGATTTTGACTATTTGTCTCCTGTTGCTAAGGTAGGACTTAAACCAGTCTACAGAACCTATACCGATAGGTGATAGTGACATTTACTTTTCTGGTAGGATGGCAACTGTTGGGCTTTTACTGTCCAGGGCGCTGTTACTCCATTCACCTTTTCCAACCCCCATGACTGATTTCTTTCT